GTTGTTCATTCATTCTCATTGCTGTGTAGTATAATATTGTATAAGTATACCAAAATTTGTATTTCTTTACTGTTTATTGATATTTGGGTTGTTCCCAGTTTGGAGTTATCATGAGAATGCTATGAAGATTCCCACATGTATCTTTTGGTGAACACATGCATGCATTTTTATGACTCATTAGAATTGCTGTTCCATAGGGTAGTGTTCAGTTTTAGTAGATACTGCCAAAGAGATGAATCCAGAAATGTTTTCATAAAAACTGAACAACTGTCAACTGTAAACTGAGTATTGAGCCTATTCAGCAGATAAAAGAATCTAAAAACTTCCCAGGACAAAGCAAAGGAGAGAACAAAAAGGGAAACACATGAGAAGGCAGCCAGACAGAGGCCTACAACAACAGAAAAACTAAAGTTTCCCCACCTTATCTGCACACAGCTCTGATTTTACTGTGAAAACGGCCTTCCTCAAGCCTAAAATCTGCCCCACACAGACATCTGAGCGCCTGCCCTTAAAGGCGTAAGGATCTCTGCAGCCCTTCAAACATGCAAGAATGGAACCTAGTCAGATCTTGACCAGGCTGAGCACCCCAGGCCACCCAGCCTCCTCGACAACATGGAGTCTCCCCATTTCTTCCTAGTCCAGACTCTCCTATAGCTTCTCCCAAATTTGTCTGAGTGTGGGGCTCAAAATTTAACCCAAGACTCGATAAGTTTGAGTAGCCTCCAGAGAAATCAAAATTAGGGCTAAATTAGGTCGAAATTAGACCTAATCCCAACGGGCACAAGGCTTTGAGTAGGGCTGAGGGCTGCAGTTAAGGGTTGATGGGGTGGGGCCAAGGGTGTACTTACTTCAGTGTCACGAAGAACAACTACACCAACTCAGGATAGGAGCCTCCTAACCCCAACTAGAGCTCCGGACTCTTGTGGAAGAGCGAGGTAAACTGCACAGTCTCCATGGCAACCTGGGCAAAGGGGGCGGGGTCAGCCGCAACGCAGCCGCCGGAAGGCTCTGCGCAGGCGCGAATTCTGCGGTCCCCTTCGCTGGACACAGGGGTGTGGCCTAGGAGAGGTTGCCCAGATGCTCAGCCATCTCAACCTATCACAAAGACGCGGACACCTATCAGGATACAGCGACCAAAAGCCCAAGCGTCTAGCCCTGGTCCGTCCGCGCGCTGGGTCTCCTCCGGCCACGCTGCTCCCTCCCACTGGGTCTCAAACTCCCCAGGTATACAGTGGGGTTAGGTTCAGGCCCTCTCAGCCGCAGGCTGGCCCGGACTATTAAACCACTGACCCGGTGCTGCAGGGAGGAGATGCGAGAGATTCCTGAGGTTGTCGCGGCAGGGAGTGGGGAAAGGAGGAAGAGGTGAGAGCATTCGCCTAGACCCAGGGCCCAAACCTGGCCCCTTAGGCGTTCAGCCGTCTCCAACTCCGGGCGGTGGCCGGACCCAGAGCTAGGAGTCAGAAGTAGTTTCTCCACCGATAAAATGAGCGGATTGTAGCTCTCAAACTATGAGTACAGTGCTCAGATTATATTCTTTATGTTTGTAGTACCGGTAAAGCATTGATGTGTAGAGAATAAAGGAAATACACAGTGGAGGTAAATGCTATTGGAAGCGCTGACCTGGATCCCCGTCCACATAGAAAGTGGGTATTCAACCCTCCCGCGTATAGGGTAGTCCACTTCAACACTTACACCAGCCAATCGAAGGCAGCCTCTCTCTGAGGTCTACCAATCAGAAGAGGTTTCGACTCGTGACGCCCGCCCCCTACGTATCGCGAATAGTTGGGAAACTCCTGGAGAAACGCAAAGCCTCATGAAT